AGTCCAATTCCAGCCAAAAAAGTTGAATTTATGCTGTCTGGGGGTCCAACTCGTCAAGTTCATGAACCAACTCGGTGAGTTGGATCGTTTTGATCAATTTTTAGGCATGGACTCACCGAGTCTCCTGATGGACTCGCCGAGTCTGATGCCCAGACAGCAACAACTTCGATTTTTAAAGCAGTTTTGCAAGTATAACAAGAAACACAAGCCTAGGCTCTGATACCACTGTTGGGTTTTGAGCATTTTAACACTCCTAAGTGCACATGCAACCCTAAATACCTTGGATCTATGTTTTCTCTATTATACATACAAATATGAATATCCAAGGTATTACCCTATCTAGCATACAATCATTGATACTTGGGTAATCAAATGGATAGAATACATACCTTTGTATGATGTAGCTTGTCTTCATGAAGCTTGAGTGCCTAGTGCCCCAAGTGTGACACCTCAAATGGTTCACACAACATCAATTGATTTTGGAATAACCTTGAGAGAAAATGTAGAACACTTGAAATTGGCTAGCCCTTCTCTATTGTACATAGTGGTCGATTTTTCCCAACAATATGATCTTTATATAGTGTCACACTTAGGGTAAACCCTAATTGTCACGGCTTTCCATTTCCTTGGATCCATGGTTTCAAATGCACCATGGAGCATCCTTTGGGTTTTATCCCAACTTGATAATCCATGGAGCATTAGCCCACTATACAAGTATGGATGATTTACACAATCAACCCATATATTTAATTAGTCTTCTTTTGATCACTTAATTAATTCTAAATTAATTCTTGATCAATACTAATTAAATATTCCTATTAATATATTAGAACTTATAATATATTAATAATACTTAAGTGTTATTTCTCTCATTATAGTCTATCCAAATGCATGATGCCATGCAACCCAAATGGACCATGTTGGGTCGGGTCAAGTCTTACCAATTATAGTTATGGACTTAGACATTAATCCAACAGAAAATTCGCTAAAATGAAAACAAATTTCTGCTCTACAACTCAACCTTGGAGCCTTGACCGCTGGTTTGTACGACCTGAAAAACAAATTGATAGCAGAATTTGGCGACAAATTCAAAACAACTATCGAAGAACCAAGTGTAGTCGTGACTTATCAAAGTCCCCCTACCAATACATCTCAACAAGATCCTTTTGTTAATCCTCTTCCTGTCAGAACCACAACAGTTGTCGACCGATTTGAGACAGAACCTGCTCAAGCCAATCCAAGAGTTACTCTCAAGCAAGCTCAAAGACAAGTATCTTAACAAAAGAAAGGGAATTGGCTCTTCATGAAAAACTCAGATCAAAATGTTCGTGGAGACCAGCCCGAATTGACTGTGACTGATCTTAGAAAGAATCGGTTCAAAGATAAGTATGGTGACTGATCAGGAATTGTTATGTGGGGTTTTCATGACAAATTAAATTGTTGGTTGGTAAAGCGAAAGAGCGGAAATGTGGAGTATTACAGGCACAAGAATGATTTTTCTTCTTTGACGAAGGTGGACCTCACTGAGCTTTCTGATGCTTCGTTCTCCAACCCAGATAATGATCCTCGCGGATCAAATTTCAAACTCTTTTTGGATAATCAAGTTAAGAGGAAATTTGATGGGATGAAAATTGTCGAATCCTTCCTGAAAAGAGCCAAAGGTGTTTTAGAACCTAAGACCAACATGAGCTTCAAGAATGTAATGTGGCCTCCTACCAAGCAGATGGCACAAATTCCTATTGTTAAGCATTTTTGTGATGGATTGTTGAACAATATGGAATACTAGGTTTTTGATGAAGCCACAGCTTCTGATGTCATCAAATTCTCGGATGGTGTTTTTTGTATTGTTGATAAGAAGGATTTGCTACAATTTGGTGAACGAGATATAAACACTTTGGCTCATCATCAAATCATTTGCAAGCATGAGATTTTTGAGGTGGCTGCTAAGGAATTTACAAGCATTATTGTGGAGATTATTGAAAAGAAGATGTGGTTGGGTGCGATGGGAAGGTCTGATGTGCTGGTCATAGAAAAAGATTGAATTTATGCTAGCCACAAACCAAGGGGGAGACCGTAAGGTCATCTTTTGTTGGTTTGGACTAGGCATCCATCTGTATGAGTCTTGTTATTGTTTGTTTGGGTATTTATAGTGTTTACGGTTGGGTGAACCGAAAATTGGGGTTTTCGGTTTAGTTGGTGTTTGCGGCTGCAATCTATTTGCGGTCATGAACTGTTTGTGGCTCACTGTTCCCTATATATGTGTCAGTCTTGTCAGAGGTATGTGAGTGAGTGATTGGTTTGGGCTAGACATCCATCTGTATGAGTCTTATTAGTGTTTGTTTGGGTATTTATAATGTTTACGGTTGGGTGAACCGAAAATTGTGATTTTCGGTTCAGTTGGTGTTTACGACTGCAATCTGTTTATGGTCGTGAACTGTTTACGGTTCACTGTTCCCTATATATATATATATATATATATATATATATATATATATGTGTGTGTGTGTGTGTGTGTGTCAGTCTTGTCAGAGGTACATGAGTGAGTGATCAGTTGTATGTGTGTGTTCCATTGTATCTCACGTTTGCGATTAAATATAAACATGTGCAATTTAGATCATTCTTGTGTTTGATCACAAGTTGGTTCCAAATTTGGGGACTTACATTGATAAAACTAATAAATAAATAAACAAAAAGTGGTTAAATCACAAATATAATCAAAATATAATTATTTATGATAGTTTGGTTTATTGGAATAAGTGGAATTATTTATTTATTCATTATTTTGTTTGCCCTTAAAATTACTTAAAAAATCTACTATAATAAATAAATAAATATAATTTTGCTATCGGTCAAAATAAATATAATAAATATAATAAGTGGAATTATTTATTTATTCATCTTGAAAGTTTTTTTATTATTATATTGTTTTAATAGAAGTGACGCATCCAGTTTTGACAAAGTTAATCAGACTTGCGCCAAGATTATTTTGAGGTAATGTGTCTTGTTTTGATCTCACGAGACATGATGTAGGATTAAGCCGTTTGGTAAATAGAAAACTATGACAATATGATTGCAAGTAATAAGTATAATGAAATTTCTAAAAAACATTCAAGCTTTACATCAAAATGTTCATCATCTACTCTAATTAATTAAAACATTTTTTTTCATTTGTCAAATTGTCGCATATAATTTTATGATTGATTATGAAAAATTAATTTTCACATTTTTATGATAATTTTTAATTTTCTTAGTTAACTATACATAATATACCATTAATGAGTTTATATATTTTTGAATTTTATTATTTTTCCTTCAACATAAATAATTTAAAATTTGGATATCAAAATGTATATTGATCAATATAGGTCAATATATATTGATAGAAAGCAAACGGACAACAAGCTGCACCCTTAACCCTTTTAAATAGCAAAACTACATTTGTGGATGTGAGAGATATGACGTAATCAATGCATTTGATTGATAAAACTAATAAAATCGATTAAGAATTTATGGTCAAAGTAAAATTATTTCTCCATAATTTGTTTTATTAATATAAATTGAATTATGTATTTTTTTTCATCAATTTGTTTGTATTCCACCTAGGATTGAAAACAAAATGTACCTAGGAGATATAACATTATGATAAGTTTATATTTATCTTGAAAAAATAAGTACTAATATTTATATCTTTATATATAAATAAATAAAAAATTAAAACCCATATATTTAATAGTATTTTCTTTAATAAAAATACTAAATATTTATATCTTTATATAAAACTTTTTAAATAAATCCATGAATACACTAGGGATGAGCAGCGGAAGCGGGTACCTGCTATCGGAACCGGAACCGCCTCGGAACTGCCGGTTCTAGAACCGGAACTACCTTAGACGGTTCCGGTTCCGGTTCCGGTTCTTAAAGTCTCGGAACCGTCTTAAGCGATTCCGGTTCCAATTCTCATTTTTTAAAAAACCAATACCAGTTGGACACTCGTCGGTTCCGGTTCCAATACCGGGTACCCGGAACTGGTACCGCCGGGTACCCGCCTCTTTAATATATATATATATATATATATATATATATATATATATATATATATATATATATATATATATATATATATATATATATATTGGAAAAAGAAGTGGCGTAAAGCGTAATTGCCTTATCATTTTTAGGGTTTGTGACTGAGGATTCATTCTTACCAAAAAAATGTAGACACTCACACTCCCCTCTCGACTTTCGCAAATCGCAATCGTAAGATGCCGACACTCAGATTCGTTGTGAGGCTCTCTATTTCTCGAGTCGTTTACTCGTTTGATTCGCTGGAGTAGAAGACGAATGTGGAATCGTTCGAGTCTTAGGCCCCGCTCAGTTGTTGATCGCTCACGTTGTTCCCCATGTTCAATCAATGAACGAAGAAAGTCAGAAACCCAATTGCCGACCCAATCGTCGACCATTGCTGCAAGCCTGCAACTACAAGTCTTCATCTTCAAGGTTAGATTCTCGAAGTCTCAAACTGTTACCTCCATCTATTAATCTCTCGAAGCCTACAACTAAAATGTCAATTTTTTGACTGACCTCCATGACTGGTACCATATGTTCTCTGTAATATATGTTCTATTGATTTTCCTCCATCTATAAATTTCAAAATTGTAACTATTGATTTAATACTGAATCAGAAGTTTGAAAAAGGTTTTAATAGTGTTGATTAATCAAATTTGATTTAGTGCCCTGTATCTGAATGTGTTATGATTCCCATGGCAAAGTTAATAATGTTATAATCCTTTGAACGTAAATGCATATCAACGAGTGTTTAAGAGCTCAAAAGTTCATTGTTATATTTTGGTTGTATATGTATGTGTTTTGATTTAGTGCCCCGTATCTGTATGTGTTCTGATTCCCACTGTTTTTTTTTGTGTTTTGTGGTCTCAAAAGTTCATTGTTTTCTTTTGGTTGTTATTGATTTATGTTTGTTGTCTGAAATTTTAGGTTCAACAATGGAAAGTAGTCGAATTGATGTTGACTTGGATGGTGAAAGTGAGTTTGTTGAGCAAAACAAAGTGCCAGTAGTTGGGGACAAAAGGACATCAAATGCTTGGCGCAACTACACAGATGTTAGAGATCCAAAGACGGGCAAGATTGTAAAGGCGCAATGCAAACACTGTTCCAGAATCTTGACAGTTACTACAAAAAATGGTACATCATCTTTAAGTAAACATAATGATTATGTTTACAGAATCCTGATAATATTGATAAAAAACAAAAGAAAATTAGCACTTTTAGAACAAGTCAAAGTAATGCGACTACTGTTTCTAATTGGGATTTTTAACCAAAATACAATCAGGCTTGCTTTAGCAAAAATGATTGTCATTGATGAGCAACCAATTAGATATGTTAAACGTGACGGATTTAGATATTTTGTAGTGTTGTTGTTCCACAATTTTGTATCCCGTCACGTTTCACGGTTGCTAGATATATTAGTAAAGTGTTTCTTTGTGAGACGGAGCAATTGAGAAATACCTTGAAAAGTTTGAATTCTAAGATTGCTCTTACTACTGATTGTTGGACTTTTGTGCAAAATTTTAAGTTATATGTGTTTAACTGCTCATTTTATTGATGATAACTGGAAATTACATAAAAGAATTTTGAATTTCCGTAATATTTATAGTAATAAAGGAAAGGAAATCGGGAAAGAAGTAGAATCTTGTATTCTTTATTGGGGTATTGAAGAGAAGTTATCTTGCATCACTGTAGATAACACATGTGCTAATGATGTAGTTGTTGCTCATATAAAAGACAATCTAATGGATAAACTTGTCTTAGGAGTTGAGTTTTTCCATATAAGATATGTCGCCTATATCTTAAACTTGTTTGTTAAAATGCTCTCGATTTGATTAAAGATGCCTTTGTTAGGATTAGGGGTGCAGTTAGATATGTTAGGAGCTCTACGGAAAGATCAAAGTTGTTTGATACTTGTGTTTCAAAATCAAAAATTTTGAGTAAAGCAGCGGTATCTATTGATGTACCAACACGGTGGAACGCCACTTACATTATGTTGGAAACGGCACTTAAGTTTGAAAAAGCTTTTAAAAGAATGAGACAAGAAGACCCTGCATTTGAGAAAGATCTTAAAGATGGATTTCCATCCCAAAAAGATTGGGAAAGTGCTAGAAATTTATCTCTTTGTTTGAAGCGGTTTTTTAAAGCCACGAAAAGGATGTCGGGAACTTTGTATGTTACGGCTAATATGCATTATCATGAGATATTAGGTGTACTTGCTTCCTTGTTGGAGTGGACACAAGATGATGATATCAATATTGCTCTTATGGGTGATCAAATGAGGAAAAAGTTTGACAAGTATTATGGAGAATTTGGAAAAACAAATGTGATGGTGTTAGTTGCTGTTGCACTTGATCCAAGGTATAACATGAGGTTTGTGAAGTTTTCTCTAAGAAAAATTTATCCTTTAGGCTTCAAGAAGGTTGAAGAGCTATATGCTAAAGTGTTTGAGGTTTTAAATCAAATATAATCATTATTCTAATGTTTCTTCAACGGGCAAGAATGATGGTTCTAGTTCTTTCAATACAAATGATAAGGATGGTCAAAATTTTGATGGTGTGGTTAAGAATAAGCAAATGAGAAAAATATATGATGAGTTTTATGAAAATGATGTTGAAGATGCTACGGAAAAATCTGAATTGGAGGAATATCTTGATGCTTCACCCGAAAAATGAATAATGAAACATTTGATATTTTGAAGTGGTGGAGTGACAAATGCACAACATACAAGGTGTTGGCATCAATAGCAAAGGACATTCTAGCCATTCCGGTTTCTATGGTTGCTAGTGAGTCCGCTTTTAGTACATTCGGACGTGTGGTTGATGACTTTCATAGTAATTTGCTTCCAAAGACGGTGGAAGCTTTGATTTGTACTCAAGATTGATTGAAGGCATCAAATGTTTGTATTGACCTTGAACAATTATTGGAAGATGTGAAAAAATATGAGGAATGTAATATGGAAGATACACTTTTATTTATTATTTTATTTTATGTTTCTTGTATAATATTTAATATTCTAATTTGAATTTTTATGTTTAATTCCATTGCAGAAATCAGTCGCAATATGGAAGACACACGTGGAGGGAGTTAGTAGTTGTTGTGTTTGATGTTGGGATGGTGCTGTTTTTGCTACTTGCTGTTGATGTTTGCTATTTTGTTGTTGTTGTTTGGTGTTGTTTTGCTGTTTTTTGCTTAGTGTTGTTGCTGTTTGGCTGTTTTGTTGTGGTTCTTTTGTTGTTTTTGTGCTGTTTTGAAACTTGATAAAAAATTTTTTACTGTTTTGTTGTTTTGTTGTTGTTGTTTTGACTTTTGTTATTGCTGAAAATTGTCATTTTGTTATACTACTTGATATATTCCAATTGTGTTGGCATGGTGTTTTGAGATAAGTTTTTATGATTATTTTAGTTTTATATATTGCAGTCCTAGTCTCCTGTTGTTTAAAAAAGTTTATTTTAATGAAATGTATACAATAAAAGATGTAAATTATCAAGAAGACGGGTAGCCGGAACCGGTTCCGGCGGTTCCGAGAGCGGTTTCAATTTTCTAGAAACCAATGTAAACGGTTCCGGTTCCAATACGCAAAAACTAAGAATCGCCGGTTCCGGGAGCGGTTCCGGTTCCGGCTAAAATAAGCGGGTAACCGGTTGTGCTCATCCCTAAATTACACAAATGTCACACCTAATATATATATATATATATATATATATATATATATATATATATATATATATATATATATATATATATATATATTTGTAACGTCCCAAAAATCACGACTAAAATTTTCTTTTAAAACATTATTAAAACCATATTCATAAAAACCGTATCATAAATCATAACATAATTTCGTAGCATTAATTCGAAATACAAACTTATTACCAAAGTAAAACATCCCAGGCTAGCTGACTATGGTGTGTGCACTGCAATCTTCCCGAGCTCCTCCTTTGAAAACTGAGTACCTGAAACCAAAAACTGAAACTGTAAGCACGAAGCTTAGTGAGCTCCCCCAAACTACCCCATACCATACAATAACATATAAAGCACATATTGGGCCTTGCCCACTGCATCGGACCGAGGTCCGGACTAACTGGGGCCTTGCCCCCTGCATTGGAACGAAGTCCGGAGACTGACTGGGACCTTGTCCCCTGCATCGGACCGAAGTCCGGACTAACTGGGGCCTTGCCCCCTGCATCGGACCGAAGTCCAGACTAACTGGGGCCTTGCCCCCTGCATCGGACCGAAGTCCGGAAACTGACTGGGACCTTGTCCCCTGCATCGGACCGAAGTCCGGACTAACTGACTGAACATAGCATAGTAGAACATATCAACTAGCATAAACACATATACTGCATACTGTATCGGGTCGTAGCCCGGAACACATAACACATAACACATAACACATAAATCCTGTCTAAGCCACGAAGGCATCAAACATACTAACTAATGCATCGGACCGAAGTCCGGAAACTACTATTAACTGAACGGATCGGCATTGTGGCCTTAGACCCGTTCCTACTGGAAGGAAACTCACCTGAACTGCTGAATTCTGCTGGTAACCCTCGGACTGCTAACCAACCACCTTCTGAAACGCTGCTCCTCTAACTCTTCGAGCTACCAATAACAAAGCGACACTTAGCTTGACAGACCTCTAAAAGTCAACTAACTCAACTCTGATCAAAGTCAAAGTCCTGGCCCAAGTCAACCTTCCATGTTGACCCTACTCACCGAGTCAGCCTACTGACTCGCCGAGTTTACTGATTTCCGAGTTCTGTCCTGTCTAATTCACTGAGTCCCCACTCAACTCACTAAACTAAGCCTTGACTCGAAGGGTTTGGGGTTTCACGATTTGACTCGCCGAGTCCAAGAATAGACTCGCCAAGTCCAAGGCAATCTTCAACAAACTCGCCGAGTTGTTCATCCAACTCGTCGAGTTAGCCTCCATCTTCATACTACTCGCCGAGTCCACTCAAAGGACTCGTCGATTCCATTCAGTCCTTAATCCATGCAGTGGCTTTTCGAGCCAAACAGGGATTCCAACTCATAGATCCATACTTCTAAGGCCTATCCCTCACGTAAAGTGGCAAACTTTACGTGTAGATCAAGATATCTAAGCTTAAAACAATCCAAACTAGGGTTTAAGACAAAGAGGCTTCACTATCCACCCAAAAACAGATGCTTTATGACTTTCCAGGCCAAGATACACTCAGATCTGAAGTAGCAACTTCAGATCTGGGCTTCTAACTCAAAATAGTTCTTAAGCATGGCATAAAAGCTCCTAATATCATAGCCAAGGTTGATCTATTAAACCAAAAGAGGGAAGGTAACGATTTATTACCTTAAATGCTCAGAAATGCTCCACCACCCTTTGGATCCAAGTCCCCCTTCTTGCTCCACAATGACTATCCTCTCTCTCAAACTCCAAAAAGCTTCACCAAGGGTTAGATCTTGCTCCAAAACGATTATAGCGGCTAGGGTTTATTGCTCTGAGTGAAAGAGGCACTAAAGGATCCTTAGGGAAGAGAATGAGGCGTTTAAATAAGCTCCAAGTCCCGGATTTAGGGTTTTCCTTGCCTAGACCAGACTCGCCGAGTCACCCTGGCCGAATCGCCGAGTCGGTCGCTTACTCCTCGACCCGGACCCCGCTCGGACTCGCCGAGTCTCTCCTTAAAATTTAGGGTTTTCTTTCTTTTCTTGGCTTTCCAACTTTGGGTGTTACAACTCTCCCCCACTTAAACTAAACTTCGTCCTCGAAGTTCGCTACGATCCACCGACTGCGATCTGCCTCCAATACCCCACCGTTCATTCTAACACCAGCTGCCTACCTTCGCTGACCACCCGCTCAGTCCTTCATATCAATGCCAAACCTTACAAAAAACAATCTCGGGTCCATCCTGACCCTGAACATTCTGGAAACGCAACTCACTCAACCGACAATCCGTCTGATAATCTCCAAATACTGCACTGACCCCGTAGGGGTTCACCCCTTCTTTCCTTGCACGATTTCCTTGCCTTCCCAAGGCGATGCTCCATAACCTCCTATCTACTCTGCCACTGCGAAGACCCTGTCTCCACCAAATCTATTACTCCCGCTACTCCCAGCACGGATCATCTTCGCCAGTATCCACTGGGCGTTCTTTCTACTACCATTTGGTGTCGTGCACCCCACTAACAACTGACTGAATCCTACCATACGATGCATACTCACGCTGCTACTGACTGAAAATTCTGCAATTCCACATCTGGCTTCCGGATGAACTGAGACCACCCAGGTCCAACTAATATGGCTGAACTTGCAGTCCGACACCAAATTAATACTGCCCAAAATACTACAACTATCTAAAACACTGAACTACCTGGAACACTGGACTGCCTACAATACTGAACTGCCTGAAACACTGATCTGCCTGAAACACTTGACTGCCTGCAACACTGAACTGCCCGAAACACTGATCTGCCTTAAACACTTGACTGCCTGCACGAAACCTTTCTTTGGAACTAGTTTTCGCTGGTCATCCTGTTACTGTGGTCCTAACGACCACCCGATCCAACCGACCGAGTCCAAACGTCGAATCCAAACATCAACAAATCCAAGACTATAATGATGGCTCCCAGGCTAATGGTAGCCCTTAGCATACATGAACTCTAATGGTTCGCTGCTTCACTGATCTCATGACTATGATGACGATCCATTTGTCGCATTACTGGCTCAACCATGACTAGACTCTGGAAAAATTCGAAATCCAACACGTGGATTTCCGTATGCTAGCTGTTGCACACGAACTGGTGGATACTACTGCTTCTCCCCTGCGTCCAAACAACGTGCTCATGCAGTCTACTAACCTGGAGAATGCTACGGCTACACCCGTAGACCTACAACCCCTAATACTGTCTGGTTGCAAGTGAATGTTACGGCTACCCCCGCAGACTTACAACACTACTACTACTATCTGGCTGCTAGTGAATGCTACGGCTACCCCCGTAGACTTACATCACTACTACTATTATCTTACTGCTTACTAATCACTATTCCGAGGACTTCCTGACTATCCATAGTTCTGCTAGCAATTCCTCATCCTGACTTCTCAAAATCAGTCCTCAATCATCAGATGCTACATCAACCTTGACATCTTATATCCTTGATGAAATTAGCGTTCCGTCGAGGAATTCTTCGACTTGGTTCCCAAACCAACCGTCTACTAATCCAGAAACATGAAACTAACATTGGGAAGTTTCTAAACTTCCAACTCCTGAATTCACACAACCATACATGCTGTCTCTACCACTGACTACTAACGCAGAAACATCTCTTGCTAACCGATCTCAAGATCCTCCTTTCCGACTCACACGAGTCCTACAGGCGACCCTTCACCGGAATTCGAACCACATTCTCACCATTACCATTTACACACACGGACCGATGGGGAGTTTCTCAAACTCCCAACCCTGAACTACTCAATCCATCAAACGCTGAACTACTTCTTTTCCTTCTCAGAATTACGTACTTGTTCTGGATTTGCGTGCTCTTACCCTTGTACACTCGGAGAATTCTCCCCCACTTCGATCCTGCTTACACCTCGATGCTCAGTAAAGAGAAATCCCAATCCTTACTACCATTCCAAAATCAATCCGCTGATGAATCCCAAGCTTACCATAGCTAGGGATCTAACCTGTCCATTCTAAAACTTATAAGGCTCCGAACTAGCGAGACATACCGAGTCCCTCCAAGGCATGCTACACTTACTGCACCCTAAGTAACCTTTTTATATAAAACCCATCCCTTTACTACTAACCAAAAAAATCCAAGGTATGCAGATGGCATAAAACTCGATCACAAACAGGTAATATGATACCCCAAAACATACGCTTATAAATATCGCTGCAACA